GAGAGTTCTGGCACAGCCAGCGCCAGACAACAAATATGTGAATTTGATTTTAATAAAATGAAAACGAGCGCCGCCCCAAACAAAATTCAGCGACAGAGCTCAGGCCGTGGCAGCATCTCAGAGGGCTGCCGCCGCGACCTTGACTCCAGCTTTCGGGGCTCCACTTCCCCCACTCCAATGGCCAATTATGGCAAAATTACAGACTTGTTATCTCATTTATGGCGCCAGCTGGAAAATATATATTTGATTTCCTGCATGCCTGTGGATCTGTGGATCTGTGGATTTGCACCCTGCCATGCTGCCACCAGCCACCTGCCGTGCTGCCATGCTGCCGCAGTTTATATATTTTTAATTAAAATTGCAGAATTATGAGCAAGTTCCTGTGAATATCAATGGGCCGCAATGAACAGGATGCCCGCCCGACAGCCACGACCAATTGACCAACCAAAAATGATACGCAAAATGCGAATTTCCTGTGGCCCGGTTTATCAATCAGTTTAGCCAGCAGTGCCCTGGGACTAATATTGCATGCTCGGCTGGCTGCATATTGCAACACATTGCACGCCCACACACACACAGAGAACACACACACACACACACGCAGAGAGAACACAGCGACAAACACAGGCAAATTGCATCCTTGTGACCGACCATCCGCACACGTACGGCGAGGAATGAGTGTTCCCGCTTGGATGGGAAAATATTTACCGAGTGACCAGTTTCCATTTATTTATTTGCACCACCCCGCACCCCGCACCAGCCCATGCACATGCACATGGGACACAGCAGTGGGACACTTGTCGCCACTGCTGCTCCTTGGACGCGATCATTGAACGCCTGCCGGTCTGGCCGCTCTTGCCGGCAGAAACCTGTGTAAATGTTATCCACACTGGCTCGAGCTGGCACGTGGCACGTGCTTCATTTCTTGTCTGCTGTATGGCGCCATGGCGCCCATTGTGTGCTGCCGCGCTGCAAGAATAAACTGTATTTCCAGTTGGTAAACAGCATGCCACACACATGCCCAGTGCCACAACCAAAGTGGCAGTGAAAGCAAAAGCAAGAGCAGGTTTTTAGGGGTGGCAGAGAATTTAAATTGAATTCTTTTGCCCCACACACCGCACACACCCCCCTCGCAAATTGCAATATTTCTATGCTAAACGGAAAACTGAAAACTGAAAAGGCTTTCCCATGGCTGCAGTCGCTGAGCCTATGACAACATTTGGGTTCCGTTTCTGGTTCCGTTTCTGTTGCTGGTTCGGTGGGGAGTTGGAGTTCCTGTTGAAGCTCTGCCCCACCTCTCAGCCTCTCCTCTGCTGTTAATGGAAGCCAAATAAAGTCGGGCAAAGAGTCTTGATTGCTGCTTTCGCCCACACTTATGCCATTTTGTGTTTCTATTCAATGCGCGCGTTCTGCAGCAGCAGCAGCAGCAGAAGGGCTCGAATATTGCGGCTGGATGGCAACAAATGGGAGTCGTTAGGCTGTATCTGTATCCACAAGGAAGTTAAGGAACGGGCAGGGCAGTGCAGGGGCAGGACAGTGCTGGCAAGGGGAACTTATTTACATGCTGACCACAGATGTTGCCGCACGAGCCGCCGCCTGACATTCGGACCATCAAAACTCAATTACTGGCACTGAGACTGAGACTGGGGACTGGGTACTGGCGACTGGGAACTGGGAACTGGCACTGGGGACTGTGGCTTCGAGTTGACTTTATTAAATTTTCGTTTGTCTATCTGCAGGCCGCAAAAGGACGCCCAACGCGGTACGGGGACGTGGGGATCGAGTCAGAGTGCGCAGCCTGTTGGCCAAATTATTATGAAAACTTCAAGTTGACAAGGCGCCAAAAAAAACACACACACACACACACACACACAAAATAAAAAGTACTCCAAAAGTGAACTGTGAGTGAGGGGGGGGGGGCTGTGATTGGCAGTGAGGCGGAAAGCTTTTCGATGGACTCTTCACAGTTCTGGGAACTAATATAAAATATTTTCAAGTGCCGAACACTCAAACTCCTGCAAAAACAATGGCTAAGGACGAGTCCGGGAGAGTCCCAGAGACTCCCAGGGACACTGCCTGGGATGATCATAATACACAAAGGACAGCGACAGGTCGAGGGACAGTCTGTTTGTTTTTTCTTTCCAGCAGTTGGTTTGAGTATTTTTTTCAGCGTCGGACCACGGCCACAGCCGGCATTGGATGTCCTTCTGTGCATTGCCCCCGTACAGCCCCCTGTGCAGCGAAAATAGCCAGGGGCCAGATGCGTATGCTTAGTGGCCATCGGAAGACGCAGCCACAGACACAGACACAGCCACAGACACAGACACAGACTCTGGGGTGCATTTAGAGCAGCTTAAAAGCTGAGACTGAGTTCGGCTGCTGCTGCTGCTGATGCTGATGGTGCTGCTGGGTGCCATTGTTTCTGCGCCCCCACTCGAGCAGCCGTGGGCGAATGGCGACGTGAGTAGCGGAAATGCAAAAGAATATACGTCGCCGGAAGTTGTCTCCGCTTAAGACACGCCAAGACTAGCAAAATGGCAATGAAATGGGAGCAGAGCAGAGCAGAGCGGAGGCGGAGGCGGAAGGGAGACAAGCGCTGAGCCTGTGACAGACACCAGAAACAAAGGCAAACAGTTTTCCTTCCGCATCTGCACTTACCAAGAAAGACTCCGCTCCGTTGCAGCTGCACGGACACGGACACAGACACGGATACGGACACGGACACGGATGCGTAGATGCGTATACGGATTGCTTTTGTCTCGCTGTCTCGAGTCCCCCTGTCGAGCTTCTGGAATGTTCGCTTAAACGAAAGAAAGAAAGTAAAAGTAAGAAAAGAAAGTAGGTAAGAACCGGGACCCGTAGCCGTAGCCGTAGCCGTACCCGTACCCGTACCCTGACGCTACCCGTAAAAGGACTCATTTATTGGCTCTTAATTTGGTGCTTGAATCGATGTTTGTCTGCTCTCCGTTGATGGCTTTGTGGCAATCTGTTGTCCAATCATTTAATGTAAGTGCATTAAAGCGTTTAACAATCCAAAAAGTACGAATGGTAATCCCGGGCCTCAACCGCAAAACCACAAAAGGCACAAAAACATTTTAATTCGCATTATAATAAGCTGGGAATATTACAGCAGTCGCAGCCACAGGCACAGCCCCATGGCCCACTCCTCGCTTGTCCATATGTTTGTGGCGGCAAGCAGCAGGACAGAAGGACAGCGGGAAAGCAGGACAGCTGGACAGTGGGACAGCAGGACAGAAGGACAGCGGGAAGGCAGGACAGCGGGACAGCAAACTACACTAATCGGCATGCAATGATTTACGAATTAGTTTGCTTAGGAACTTAGCTCCCCCATGGAACTTAACTCATTTGTAGGTGGCTGGCTGTGATGGCTGTGGGCCAAAGCAAGCACCAAGGTCACGTTCGCGCTTGCTTCCGACCCCCGTGACTGAGTGTCGAACAGCCAGCAGCCCAGCCCAGCCCAGCCCAGCACAGCCCAGCACAGCCCCAACAGCATTAATCACGCCTCGGCTCGGGTTCGTGGCCCAAAGCTGTCACCGGCAATGGCAATCAACTGGCAAATCATCGCCAGTCCTCCGAAATTGGTCTCTCCGCTCATTGATTGGAGCCAGCGCGACTCCAGCGCGGAGACTCTACTCAGTTTCATCCGAGGATTATGTGAGAGCTGTACACGCATTAATTTGCCCAGCCCCAACCGAACGGATGACCAGCGTCTGACATAAATGTCAAATTACTCCGAGGAAACTTTCAGCGGACAGTGGCGGGGATTGAGGCGGGGGCTGGGGCTGAGGCGGGGGCTGAGACGGGGGCTGATGCTGTAGCTGGAGTTCTGAGTGACAAAACTTATCGTGGCGGCGTCTTGTGCAATTAGTGGACTCCCTCGCAAGTGTTCCCTGGTGGCTCGATGATGATCACATCAGCTAGAAATCGGTACTCGGTACTCGGCACTCGGCACTCGCATCCCCCACCCAGCACCACCCACAGACAGACAGACAGACAGAGTGGGTGGGTGGGTACTCCCTCCTACGCCTATCAATGCCGTTCTGGCCAATATTCATTGTTGAATTGAATTATGCAAACGTGCGAGACCGAACCCCAATTAGGCCTAATTGCCCACGTTCGTTAGGCGTTGCCCGAAAATGGCCAAAATTGTCAATATTCCAATGAATAAGCCTCCACTCCTTTGGGGGGCGGCATCCGACGTTTGGCTCTTGTGTTTTGAATGCTAGCAAACATTTTGTTTGTTTAAATTTGTGCCGTGAATTTTGGTTACCGTTCGCCATCGATGAATGGAGCGCAAGGGGTTCGGGTTCAGGCTCGGGTTCAGAGTAGCAGCAAGGGTTTTTATTATATATATATGGAATATATATGTATATCCCTGGGGCACTTTAGCTGACAGCATCAGCAGCTGCACCTGCAACTGCAGCTCCCCGCTTGCCACAGATCCTGCACTCAGTTTTCCCCCTGTACGTTTCTGGTTTGAAGTTTTAGGGCAGAAGCTGCTCGAGCAGCTGCGTGCTTTGCTTGCCCCCCTTTTTTGTGGCAGCCACCTTTGTGATGGCCCCCAAAGCCAGTGCAGCTATGCGGCTGGGCTGGCACATTCTGATGGCTTTGTGCCGCCATCTTTGCTCTGTTCTTTGCTGGCAGCCGGCAGCCGGCATGTGAGTGATGGCATCCGGTGAGGTGAGTAGAAGATGACGGACAGCTGGCTGACATATTCGTATGCTCTGAGGAGGACCTCTTCTCGCCTGTCTCTCCTGTCATAACAATCATGCTTAATCCCTGCGATATCCCCCCTGTAATATGTAATAACAGTAAACATATTTCGAGACAGCTGTGTGGCCGGGCGATTTCTCTCATTAAATATCCAACTCTCGTTGCTTCCACACTGACCGAGCCAAGGCAGCGTTTCTGTTCCTGTTTCTGTATCTGTATCTGTTCTTGTGTCTGTTGTATCTGTGTGTGTTTCTGTGTGAGTGTGAGTGTGAGTGGGCGCTGTCTGCTCGCGATGGAGGGGCGACGCTTCGACCGTCAGCGTCGTGACTCTGCAAAGAGCACCGCCGCACCCACACTGCCCTCCACGCAGGACCAGAACTTCCATCTGCGTCTGGCCGATCTGTACGGGCAGCACGCGTGCCTCTGGAACACATCGCTGGCCGAGTACCAGAACGTGGAGCTGAAGCGCCAGGCCTGGGACACCATCGCCGGCGAGCTGGGCAGCCATCTGAATGTGGCCTTTGTGCGCAGCAGGATCAGCAGCATGCGGCACCAGCTCAACGTGTACAAGCTTCAGATGATCGAGTACAAGATGTGCCCCGGCCTCGGCCAGGAGCCCGAGAAGCCATACCACCTGGACGCCTTCGCCTTCCTGGACACGATCCACGCGCTGCCAGAGCTAGATGCACGTCCCAGGCCAGACCAGGAGGCCAAGCAGGAGCTTGGCGCGGGGCAGGCGCCCAAAAGAGACTGGCGGCTGCAGAGCCCGGCGACGCAGCCAGAGCAGGGCGACCGACCCGGCGACAGCCAGTTTACGTATCACAATGCCATGAGCATCGTGAAAATGGTCAAGCAGCGGATGGCTGCTCACCAGCAGCTCCCAAAGCCGAGCATGTCCCATCCGCAGCTGATGTCCAGCATGGCCAGCTTGAACGGCAGCCAACAGATGTACCTGGATGCCCAGGCAGCCACGCCGCCCAATCTGCGGGCACGTCCGGGCGACTCGATCTCCTCCACCAAACTGTCAACACGGGCCAGAGAGATTCGCATGAATGAGCGCGAGAGGGAGCGGGAGAGGGAGCAGGAGCGAGCCCGAACAGATGAAAGACCAACGACATCGAAACCCCGACAAACGGAGCTGGGAGAGATCCAGTCGGAGGAAATGGAACTGTACCGCCTCCACTGGAGCGTCCGCCAGCAGATGCGCTCCCGCCGGCCCTCTCGCGCGAACGCCTCTCCGGAGCCAGCACCGCCGTTGCCCAAGAGACAGGACTCACCCGACTCCGACTTCAGTATGAAACCAAATATATAAAGCCCAAACTCAACCACAACCACATCCACATCTATATACATAAATACACCACACTGTACACACCACAATGCTCACACCATTACAAGTAGTGTGCATCATCAGCTTACCAGAACCGCAATAAAGTTACGTACATACATGAATTTAGATGAATTTAGCAATAAGGAGAGGTGATGTCATCCGCTATGGTGAGGATTCGCTCTCTTGGCCCACAGAGCGACAAACGCTGGAAAGAGATAGCACTCTTGGTTTGTTGTTGTTTGCTTGCTTGTCTTGTTTAAAGCGCCGTGTGGATCGTGAGAGCGAGCGCAAGTCCTCTCTCAGAGCGCTGCAGCGCTGTCGTGGAGCGCTAACAGAGCTGTAGACGGGAGCGACTAACAGAGCTGTAGACAGTAGTGGTTACAGGCTGTTAGCGGACAGCAGATACTAACCTGTTAACAGCGCTGTTGCCCTGCTGCTAAAGTGTTTCAGCAAAAGAGAAAGAGAGAGAGAGAGAGTAGGCAGCCGAGTGACGACTATTATTATGTTTGTTTTGTTTTATTTCATTTTATTTTAAAATAGTAGTAGGTACATTAATTTCGATTTCGTTACGCTCAAGGCTGTGAAAATTCGTGCTTGCTCGTCCCTGTGCCCTGGGGCCGACGAACCAACCATTGAGTAATATGCTGCTGAGCCGCAACATCAGGTACAGCGTGAGCGTTGATGCCACGTGCCAGACCTTCTACGAGCAGCTGCAGAACTACAAGCTGTACCGCTACCTCATATTCTACATTCGCACGGACAATGTGATGGACATCGAGAAGATCGGGACGCGTCGCTGCAGCTACGAGCAGTTCCTCAACGATCTGCGCAAGTGCGGCACCGGCGACTGTCGCATCGGCATCTGCGACATGGAGTACCGGAGCAGCATGCCCGCTGCTCGGGCTGGCAGTAGCTTGATGGGTGATCGGCCGCTGCGTGGCTCCCTGCTCCTGGTGCAGTGGAGCCCCGAGGGCGCTTGCAATACCAAGCGGACGCTCTACGAGTCTGGCCTCAAGTCACTGAGGGATGCCCTGGGCGAGTGCCAAGTCCTGATCAAGGCCACCACCACCGAGGAGGCAACACTGGCCCAGGTGGTCGAGCAGTGCCGTTCTCGTTCCCGGTCTGGGCCACCCTAATCCAATATTCAGTGTACCCAAAATCGTAGCCCCCCCAATTAAAATGTGCCGTGTTACCTACCCCTACCTGCCCTGCCCTACCTTCGCCTTGAAGCAGCTTTTCAGCAATTTTCCAAAATCTATATCACGGAAACAATTCAATTTTAAAGTTCAGCATCGAAACAAAAGTTACTTAATACATTAAATAAATTTTCCAGCCATCTGGGGCTTCTCCTGTCCCTCTCTCTCTTCTCTCTCTCTCTCTGTCTCTCTGTTGCACGCATAAATTGGCAACATTTTAATTTTCCACTAGATTTGCGTGGATTTCGTGCTCCTGTTCAAGTTTCTTTGCTTTCCTTTTCTGTTTGTTCTTTGTTCCGTTTTGCTCCCGCTATCAATTCCCCGTTCCCCGTTTGCTTTGATTTCTACACTCTCTAGTGGCGCCACTGTCTGTCTGTGCCTGTGTGTGTGTGTCTGCCTGTGTGTGTGTGTGGGAGGGACAGCAGATGGGATGAGAACGTGTGTGTGTGCGTGGGGTCATGTGTGGGATTGTGATTCTCTTTGAGGATATTCTTTTATCTTTCACTTGCGTTTGACTTGCTTCATTTTCAGCGAAATTCCGCTTGCCCCGGTTTCTGTTGCAAGTCGTGTCCTGTTTTGTTATTGTTGTCTTCCTTGACAAGTTGCTGCTGCTGCTGCTGCCTCTGCTCTGGGACAGAACTGAAGCCGGGCCACAGCAATCGAATGGCATATCAATGCCGAGCACAGCAGATCCCTCGTGCTCCCCGCTCATATGTACATATGTACATATAAATACGAGTATCCGCGCCGAATGTTTCTTCAGTCATTGCCCCCACAAATATTAAATTTCCCAGGCACTCGCGAGGACTCTGCTGTCACCCCTGACTGTGTCCTGGCTCTGTGTCCTCCTGGTGAACTGTGCTGCTGTTCTTATTCTGGCTTTGATTAATTCTGGGCCTCTGCCAAATGAGATGGAAAGGCCTGACGCCATGCGGCAAGCAGAAAGGGAAAGGCAAAGGCTGGGATGGGATGGGATGGGATGGGGTAAGGTAAGGTCGCTGAGCTCCCCCAAGACCATGATTTATGAATGAGATGGAATGATAATGAAAAGTCTCAACACAAGCCGTACTCTGGCCGCAAATCCAAACCGCTGCCAAAATTACTTTTTGGCTGCCAAAACGAATTACAAAATTACAAAATTACTCCCCAAAATTACACACACGCTAAGCTCTGAAACAGTTTAGCAGCTACTTTGCCCCACTCGCCCGACCCTCACCAGCATCACCGCAACACCGCATCCCCGCATCATTCGTATCCTCCTGCTACCCTGCCATCCGGAGAATTGCTGACATTTGACGCGGCTTCCGCTTGGCAAGTTATTCTCATTAGCGTAAAAATTAAATTTAATTTCCACCAATAAACCCCGTTAATCGTTTTCTTCCACAAAACTCCTCGACGCTGCTTCTCCTTCTCCTTTGCTTTCATTCTCGTGTATTCGTGTCCCCTTTTACTCGGCTATTTGCTGCTAACTTTTGATTAATTGATTGATTGAATGAGCGTCGAATATCTTGGCCAGAAAACGGGGGGATCCGCCCGTAAGATATTTGTTGGCTCTGTTCTGATACAACTAATTACCGTTCACAATCCGCTGCAGGAGCATGGATGGGACAGGGATACCGATGCCCCCAATTGGAATTGGACTTCGCCCACTGCCGTCTGTGTGGTTTTCTTGGTAATTTCCCTCAGCTCAAGGCTGCGCCGCAATTGCGTGTAGGCCCAGTTGGCCCCCCCAAATGTGTTCTGCCCCGCCCCGCCCTGCCCTGCCATGCCCTTGAAGAAATGCAAAATTATTATGTGAAAATATGCAAACTGCGTGCGCGTTGTCGAAAATTGTGAGCACGTCGTGGCGTCGTCTATCCGCTCTTCCTTGTGGCCATTCACAGGACCATTAGCATTCACAGGGCGCATTCATTCGGCACCCAAAAGTCTCCGTGCTGCCCAATCAGCACAACCTGTCCCAGACGACACACAAACAGAGAGACAAACAGACAAACAGACAGAGAGACAGACAGACAGACAGACATTGCCATTATGACTTAATTAAAAAATAATATTTTTGAATTTTCAGAGTACTCTCGAATTAGTTTCCCCCCAGTCTTGCCTCACGGCAAGCATCAAGGACAAAGCCCCGATAAGTCCACTATCTGCCTGCTGCTTGTCGTTCCTCAGGAAGTGTCAATGGGCGCAACCAAAAGCCGCATTTGTCTGACACTGCGGATGAGTGTCGTGTCTGACACTGGGTGCTGGCTGAGAGGTGTAGTGGCAGTGGCAGTGGCAGTGGCAGTTACAGTTACAGTGGCACTGCCTGTGTCTGCGGTTGTGGCTGCTGTGGCGGGCCGTGTGGCGGGCTGGCTACTAAACTTCCCGTGTCATCGCCATGTCATTCATTTGCATGCCAGAAAAAGTTGGCAGCTTGCGCGGTTCGCAAAGCAAACACGGGGCATGATGTGCCAAATAAACGGAAACAAGAGAGCGCGCGGCACACACACACTAGCACACACACACACGCATGATTGGGTATTAGTATGTGTTAGTCTTCCCCCGTCCCCGTATCCACTTCACACTACCACAGAGGGGTACACGCGTGTGTGTGTGTGAGTGTGTCATGAATACAAATGGCGAAAGCGGAAACGGAGCAGCAGGCATCGTGCTCCGTGCCCCAGCCCCGCGCAAGGCAGTCCACCGCTTCATGCTGCGACTTTAATTGCAACAAAAGCTGTTACATTTTGATTAGCATCAGAGGCAGGAGATCCGCGTAATTATTAAACACAGACAGAAGAACAAGGACAATGAAACACCATTCACCCCCGGTTTTCGTAGTTTCAAGTAGATGAATCCAGGACGACATAACCTGTATAACTGAGTATATTATAGTTAATCTTTATTATGCCCTTACTCAAAAAGCGTTAAGGGGTATATTGTATTTGTGGTAAAAGTGGATGTGTGCAACGCAGAGATGGAATCGTTTCCGATCCCATAAAGTACACATGTTCTTGATCAGCATCAATAGCCGAGTCTCTGTCTGTAAGTCTGTCCGTCCGTCCCGATGAGCGCCTAGATCTCAGAGACTATAAGAGCTAGAGCAACCAAATTTTGTTTCCAGACTCATGTGATATCACACTGCTACAAGTGTATTTCAAAATTTCGCCCCGCCGCCTTCCGCCACCACAAAGGACGAACATCGTAGAGAATGATTATATATACATATTGACCAGCTTGCCGAAGCTGAATCAGATCGGATCATTATTATAGCCAGAATGATGAAATTAATTTTCAGTTGCTTCCCCCACCTCTTCCAGCACGAGACCACACTACTCATTCTCTTTCTCGCTCACACACACTCGCAGAGAAGATGTTTAATCTACATTGTAAATATATAATCTACATTTCAGGCGTAGAATAAACATGTTAGATGTAGATGTAGATGACAGATGTAGCAAAAAAATTTAATATGTAAAATATTTGAAAATTCTACACAAATCATAAGCTCACAAATTTATATGCTGAATGAGTACGGGGATAAAAGTAGAGTCGCGTCGATAGAAGCGACTCACACGTTCCTTCTCGTTTTTAGCTATATTAAATGTTTGTTTAGATTAAAGTAGTTGCTGTGATTTAAATTGAATGCATAATGAAAATGCTTGCGATCGCAATTTTGCGTGTTTCTCGAGGGAGACTTTGGGCATCGAATTAAATGGCAACGATCGTTAAGGTTTAGCTGTTTAGCTCCTCTCTTTATCCGCTCCTAGTCTCTGTCTCGCTGTTATTCGTTCTGTTATTGGCTCTGTTAACTCTACAGACTCTTCTGTTCTCTGTGGCTTTCCACATGAATGTTAGCTCTTACTCGCTGTTGATACCACAAGCCAAGAGTTTTTGTGGACACGACACACGAGTAAAGGTCTGGGCAGAATGCAGAATAGTGATTTATACTATATAGATATGGACCTCCCGAAACTGTTAGGCCGCACGTCTGACCGTAGTTAGCATGAAATGCGACTGGACTGTGTTCATTAACAGAATGTAAGTGATTAACATCTAGTTAACATGATTGAGAGAGGGTGGACTACAAACTGAGAGCATGAGTATGAGTTCTTCTACTCCTCTTGTGGAGAGTGCAGTTAGGTGTGTGTGGTATGACTTAATGGCATGACTACTAAGGGAAAACTCTCAAAGGAAAGGTTGGCCGAACAATCGCTTTTACTTCCTTGGGGCTTCCTTGCTCTTCTATTGAAAAAGACACTATTTCCACTCTTCACTGAATTGTAAAGGAAACTTTAAGATATTTTATAGCATTTTTTAGCCCATTGCCATGCGCTGTTATATCGATTCAAATTTTAAGTTCTCTACAATTTTGTTTTGCTCCTTTAATATCACAATTAATACTCATTTCAATCTGCAAGACCCCAGTGCGTCGCGGTCGTGGAGTCCGTGGAGTCTGTTATTGCATTGAAAGTATTTACTCGTGTATGGGGTGGGGGGGGGACTCATGTCCGAGCAATTAAAATATAGTCTGTTGGCGGAAAACAAACACATGATGCACATTAAGCAGCGCTCGGCATGCCGTGTTAATGCCTTGCAATTCACTTAAAAGGATCAACAAGCCTTGTGCGTATTTCCTGTGTAATGCTCCGACACGGGCAGCCACACTCAACCGAATGGCTGAATGGCTGCCCCGTATGTGTGTGGACAATAAGGATTTTATATGCTCGTAGTCCCGACTCGAAACTCGAAACTGGAAACTCGAGACGTCTGTTTCCTGTGTCCTGTGTTGCTGGCCAGTGGCGGACATATCGCTGGGATCGCATTGCTCGTTCGAGTAGCTGGCAAATGTGTATGGTCCAGGCAGGTGTCAAAGATGCAGCGAACCGCACTCCAGGCGGCAGTCGAACGGAAGCATGGAATGCCAATTAAGTTCGAGATGCGAAATAATTGTCATCAGTAGTTTTGTCAAAGCAGCCCTCGAACCGTTCCATACTTAGAGCAGTCGCAGTCCAAATGGCAATCGAATTGTGAACGGGCGGGGGAGAGGCATTTGGTTGCGGTTGGGCCGAGTGCGGGGGTTGCGAGGGGCGTTGGGGCGATGGGGCGATTACCTCATTGTCATTGGTCAAAAAGTTTTCAAAGAGTCTTTCCGGGTCGCCCGTTGACCCCCCCACCCCCCTTACCCCTCGTTGGACAAAAATAGTTGAAGCAAATATTTAAAACTTCATTCCATTCCATTCCATTCTATTCGATTCGATTCCATGCCATTCCGATTTCTGTGGCAAATGAATTTCTCTCGTTTCCTTTTTGCATGCATTTTTCATGCTCATGCTGTGGGCACATGGCTGCGATGTTGGCTGGAGACTCTCTCTGCTGCCTCTCAACAGAAACTAATTCACAAATTGCGCATACGCACTGTTGAACTCGAGACATTTATGCGCTGTAATGATCAGAGTGAGACAGGGAGACAGGCAGACAGGGAGACAGGCAGACAGGGAGACATGTGGGGGGGGGGGGGGGCTACGTAAATTGAAAGCAGAACAATTGGCAATTGTGACTCGCTAATTGCCGCTACTTTCGCTCTTTCGATTGCCATTTACTCTGAATTTTTGCCAGGAAGCGCCAGCGGAAACAGAAGCTGAGCAGTCGCTGACGAATTCCCACAATAAATGGCAGCACTACGGTATCCTGGCAAGGTATTCTGCGGAAGGGGGGGGGACGGAAGAGTGCACACACTCTTAAATGCCTCCACACTTGTGGGTAATTTATGAATTTTATTCCATGTCAGAGATGCGCTTTGATGTGTCTCTGCTGGCATTTCTTTTGGGCATCCACACAAACAAAGCCCAGGCAGCAGCCAGTGACCGGGACTGCCTCTGCCTCTGTCTCTGCCTCTGTTGCTGCCGTATCCGCATCCGCATCCGTTTTGGTCTCGTGCTCAAAGAAGCCTCAAAGACGAGACTGCTGCGAGCGCTTTCTCACGCCGTCAATAAAGCTGGCTTTAATGAACATTCAGGCGCGTTGGCAGGCACTAAGGGGGGCACCAGGGGAGCACATAAAAGGCAGAGGGTTACTACTGGCACTGCTGGCACTGCTGGAGCACGCAGACATGTCTTGAGAGTCTTGCAAAGTGTCGACAAGTGGGTAACGACATCACACGCACACAGTCCATCCTGGGGCGAAAGGTGGACTAAATACAGTGGAGACTGCGCCCCTGCCCTGTGACTGACCCCCCCGCCCCGCCCTGCAGAGACGGTTCAGGTGTAAAAGTGCTCAACTTTCGTCGTAAACTTTTGCTCCTCTTTGGCATGCAGCGGGGCACAGGCCCTGCCGGGGTCAGTCGGGCAGCAGCCCAGAATGCCATTCAGAAAAGTATCTCGCATGCATTGCAACAACAACTTTGATGCTGCTCCTGGCGCTGGGCCCCACTGCCCCCCCCCCCACCCAACGCTAATTTGTTTCTAAGGAAAATGTTGAAAGGAACAGTTGAAGAGTTGAAGAGTCGTATGTAGGTGGCACTCACTCAAGTGGGTAGTAGGGGAATTCAATTCCATTCCATTTGCTTGTGGATCTAGCTGTGTGTGCCGCAGGACAAACAAAACAAACAAACAAACGAACGGGGGCTGGCGGCTGGCGGCTGGGGGGGCGGCAAAAGTAAAACTGTTCGAATCCAATTAAATTCAGGGCGAATCCTGCCGCGTGGGCAGATGTGCCAACAGATGGGCATGGCGGCGGCTGTTGCCAGAATAATTAAATCACAAAATATTATTTCCCCATTCCGAAACGCAATTGAACAGCAGCCCAGCAGCCCAGCAGCCCAGCAGCCATGCCAAATAGTTGAACAAAGTTAACGAACCCCCCACACCAGGGAAGAGCATGGGGGGGCGGGGCGCCAATAATTGTTGGCGTGTCGTGAACTTTTGTCCTGGCCACGTGTCCGCGTAATGGCCTCTGCGATTGCTTCGATTGCTTGCTAATCATTCGCATGTTGGTTAACATTTTAACGTCTGCTGTTACGGGGGGCCGCGACTGGTGCCGGGGCCTATTCCTGTGCCTCCTGCCTCCTGCCTTTGCCTGGCATGTGCTCTGCTCCTGTGCCCTATGCCTGCGCCTCCTGCGCCCTGTTCCCGTGCCAACGGAATGAAAAGCTGAGACGCATGGACGCCGTAAAGAGATTTTTATCACACAGCTTAGTGCGGTCCTACCAGCAGAGAGGGGCAGAGTGGGGCAGAGTGGGGCAGAGTGGGGGAGCTGCGGCTGCGGCTGGGGCTATCTCTCCTCACGCAGTTTCCCGTAGGCGCGAAATTCAACGACAAATGTCTTTCATTTACGCGTAATAAAAACGAAATCTCCGTTGAACAATGGCCGCCGGGCGGCTTTTGCGGCCTGTTGGCCAAAGCGTCGCACGCGTCTCTCCCAACCCTACATCCACGGCCGTTTGTGCTCTTTAATACCCGTAACTTGTTGTTCTTCCGGCCCCCTGCCTCGCACAGTGCCTCGCTCCCAGTGTTCCCATATACATTGTGGCTGGGGCTGTGGCTGTGGCTGTGGCTGCCTCGAGTGTCGAGTATTTTACGTTATTTTGTATTTAATTTACAGCCACCAAGCAACGCTGGAGATGCTGTTGGTGTTGCCTTTCCTGGCCTGGAACGAGCGAGCGTGCGAGAGATTCGCTCTACCCGTGAGGCTGGTCCTGCTCCGGGTCGTGAGTAACGATGCCCGTAGGCAGTCGGCAGTCGGGCAGCCCATCCCTAGCTGCCAGCTCCCAGCTCCCAGCTCGACTCGCTCCTTCTCTTTCTGTGCTGCTGCTGCTGGTGCTGCTCTTAATGGCATAAAAGTATAAGCCATACATGTTGATTACAGAAAGAAAAGCGCTTAAATATGCATGAGTCGAAGCAGAATTTGGGCATGGAACATGGCACATAGAACTGTGCCATCGAAATGGGGGCTTTGCCCCAAGCGTTTCCTTCCTTCCTTCGTGTGCCTGTGGCCTGTGGCATGGGGAACTGGGACCAGAGACTGGGCTTGGGACTGGGCTTGGGACTGGGCTTGGGACTGGGCTTGGGCCTGGGACTGAGCCTGGGACTCTGCAGCGTCCCACATTCGCGTGAAACATTTGTAAATAACTCCGAATTCAGCTTAATTTGACGTTGATAATCGCGTTCCATATTCCATTATTCATTTTCCATTTGCCCCACACACACACACACACACACCTACGGTTGTGTATCTGTAGCTGAAGCATTCAAAGCATTCAAATCTGACATCTGGCTGGGAGGATGCCACTTAAAGTTTTCAATGCTCGAAATGCGACGCAATTTGTGTGCCTCTGAAGATGTTTAATTAGGAAATTAAGTGCACGGCATGTGGCAAGCGGCATGCGGCATGTGGCATGCGCTGCTCTTCAGTTTTCGAGTGACTTCTAAGCAGAAACAGAGATACGCAGACACACAGATACGCAGACACACAGATGACGCACCTGCAGCAGAGCCAGCAGGACCCTCTCTCTCTGCTCTACACTCTCCACTCTCCACTCTTCCCCCCCGTACATAGTGTCGATTTGTGCAAAATATGAGCAATAAAAGCCGCACCATTTGGCTGAAGAAACATTCCATTCAGGTGAACATTGATGCAGCCATTGAATGGCGCTCGTTGGCGCCCACCAAACAGCCAATAGCCAGCCCCATTGTGGCGCCTTCATGTGCGTACGTGCTGTGGCTGTGGCTGTGGCTGTCTCCACCTTCGAATGAAACTACAACGGAAGCAGCAGCAGCAGCAGCAGCAGCAGCAGTCCATGCCAGAGGAACGCCAACTGGGCTGCAGGGCTCCGATCCTTTGTTTTTGCTGTCAGGCATCATGTCGTAACAACATCCGCACCACACCCATCCGAGCGCCACACTTGGCAGTGTACGTGTGTGTGTGGGTGGATGGGTGTGAAAGGTAATGGAAAAAACGATGCACCATGCGGCACTCTGTGCAGCCGCCGTAACAAAATGCTGCATTAAGCGACCCACAAGGCTGCATGCAGAAGCCCTGCCACACAGCCCTGCCACACAGCGGCGGCGGGGCGGCAAGCATTTAGCAGATTTGCATGCACAAACACGCGCCGCTTGCCGCTTGCCACTTGCCACTTGCCACTGCAGAGGATGTGCTTGGATGCTGGGATGCTGGGATGCGTGGCTGCACTTGCAAACATTTACTTTATGTATAAAAAGCGATGTCTATTTGATTAGGCAGCGAGCAATTCCGGACACCGCAGCTGCGGCTCAATGGAATGCCAAAGGATATGGCAGCAGCAGCAGGGGGAGCAGCAGCAGGGGGAGCAGCAGCAGCAGGGGAAGCAGCAAAATATAAATAAAAATAAAACTAACTGCAGCTTCAGTTCCCATTCCTTGGCAGCAGTTGCCTCTGCCCTTCGAATCCCTAAACCCACAAACTCCCAGCACATCTGGCGAGTCGTAGTTGCCTCTAGTTTTGGACTCAAACTCAGAGATCGTAAGCCAGTATAAATTAAGCATAGAACACGCAGCATACAAGGTGAGTGAAACACACCAAATATAAATATATAAATATATAAATAGATAAATATATAAAAGTTCTGGCCGCAGACAAAATGGATACCGGCATTCATTTGACGCGGGCCGCCAAGCGCATCTACGAGGAGATCAGAACACAGAGGAAGCATCGCTACGCCACTCTGGCCGTGCAACAGGACTGTGAGATCAGTGTGGATGCGCTGGGTAATCGTGCGGCCAGCTACGATGACTTTCTCGCCGACCTGCTGGGCGAGGGCAAGGCAGTGGGAGCGGCAGTGGGAGCGGCAGTGGGAGCGGGAGCGGGTCAGTGCCGCTTTGCGATCTACGACTACGAATACGAGCATCAGTTCAAGCAAATGGACAAGTCCAGCCACAAGCAGAAGCTGATACTGTTCCTGTGGTGTCCGGCGCAGGCATCCGTCAGGGATAAGATGATCTACTCGAGTTCCATTTCGAGCATTATGCGTTTCTTTATCGGCATACAGAAGTTCATCCAGGCCAACAGTCCGGACGATGTGAGCCGCGCAGCCGTCGAGTTGCAGCTGCGGGCCCTGGACAGGGACTAGGGTGGTCCCACCGAGTGGCAGGCCACCAACGAGGAGCAGCTTGGCATGAGCTCACAAATATATTTAAATATTCGAATTCGTTCTGCTTCCAATGGACTCTGGTTCGCCTTATCTTTATGTTTGTGCCTTGGCCAGCAACTGATTTTCTACGTCTCATCCTCGGGCTCCAGTCGAAGCTCAAGCCTCGCTCCCCCCACCGCCGTCGCCACAGGGCCTTGATTTAATTTGATTTTCCTTAGCATCTAATGAGCCCATTTGGCATATGGATGGGATGCCTCTTGACGCTTTCCAAGCCAACAGCCAGCAGCCAACAGCCAACAGCCAGCAGCCAAGAGCCAAGAGCCAAGAGTATCATCTGTAATTTGTTTTGTCCTCTCACTTCCTCTGCTCCGCTCTGCTCTGCTCTTCTCTTCTCTGCTCATTATCTGTGTGCCGCGCTGTGCCGTGCCGTGCCGAGCCTGCTAAAAATACTTTGGCTTAGTTGGCGCAAGGGCAAAGTTAGGCGGCGGCGGCGGCGGCATTCAGACTTTTTTATCTCGCCCATAAATCACGAGCAAGTTGCAGGCAGGCTCCTCTGCCACGCGGCTTTCCATATCATTTGGCAAAAAGTCTGATATTAATCAAATTGACGAGCAGCGAGGAGCAGCGAGGAGCAGCACGTCATCTTTAGCTTCGTCCACGCATAGGGACGGAACGGGACCCAGAGTGCAGCTCGGCAAGTGCACTGCCACTTGGCAGATGAAAATGAAAATGCAAATGCAAATACTCGCAAGTTCGTTTTGGTTGATTGACCACATCGATGATAGACCTTGCCTCAGGGTGTGTGAGTGTGGGTGTGCGAGTGGGTGGGTTTATTTTATTGTCGGCCAGAAAATAAAAACCCAACCCAAACGGTCGCTTGGCAACGCCACGAATATTCATCATACAAGTCCGTACCCGTACCCGTACCCGTCCCCGTACCCGTACTCGTATGTCATGGAGGAATATAAAATGCCAGCAAGTAGAAGCAGCAGAAGCGACACAACGCTGATAACACTTTGGTCAGACGACGGGGGCTGAGAGTGTGGAACGGGCACTGGTACAGGGAGTGCCACAGGGACTGCCACTGCTATTGGTACGGGGGACAAGGTCCCCGAAATGAAACGCAAATGAAAGATAAAAATGCCTCAACGAGATGCGATGCCAGCCATAAATTCGGGCATACCACTGGACTGGGACTGGAGCTGGGACTGGAGCTGGGACTGGAGCTGGGACTGGAGCTGGGACTGGAGCTGGGACAGGAGCTGGGGCTGTGCTGGCACCCATCCTTAAGCAGAGCAGCGAAATCAAAGCAAACCGAATGAAAAAAAAAACCAAAACAAATCCAAATCTGAGCTGCAGCTGCAGCTGAAACGGAAACTGGCAACAGAAAAATCCACGCAAATCTAGTGGAAAATTAAAATGCTGGCAATTTTGTTGTTGTTGTTGTTGTATTTGCAGCAGGAACACTCGTAGTTGCGGCTGCGGCAAGTAGTTTGCCCTGAGATGGATTACGGGTATCGGCCCACCACCAACACCCTGCACCCTGCACCACCGCAATCCCTGCCTCAATTCCCGTCACTCGTCTGCGACTAGCGACTAGCTGTCGGTGCTGAGGTGCTGAGGTGGCTGCGGTGCGACGGGCGGAGTGATGGCAGTGCGGACTATGCGGAAATGAATTTACCTTTGACCCTCAACGGAAATGAAGCTTCAAGTGTGCGAAGTCTGCCCCTGGCCCTGTCCCAGCCTCTGCCCCCGTCCCGCTGGCATGCAAAGCGGTGATGGTTTTACGTGCCAAAGTCCTTAGTCCCCCCCGCCCCCGCCCACGCCCACGCCCACGCTGAACTGGTGCGCAGTCGTTGCTATGAGCCAGTGTCGTTACGGGATTCGCCTCGGCGAGTTTCTACATCATGTTGACAAGTAATTAGCTGCCCCCAGCAGCAGCAGCAGCAGCAGCGGCAGCAGCAGCAACCAAAACGACGTCGATTTAACTCGAAATGCGTCTGTCAATGGGCAAAAGTTTTGCCCAGCCATCAGCCATCAGCCAGCCCCATACCCGTTACAAAATTTGCGGCACGCTTGCCCAAGCATTGCCGTGTAAGCGGCTTAGACGATGGCCAAAGCCGTGGCAGCTGTCGCCTGCCCGGATGCCTCAAAAGTCGCGCATTCCAGTGGGCTGCGCTGAAGGGTGGAGGCTGATGGAGGGGCGCTGGAGGGGCGCCTGTGCCATGCTCCATTTAATTATGCTCGTTGTGCTTATGAAATTGAATTCATTAAGCCAATCGATCCGCAGTCAGCTCTGTGTGCCCCGTGTGGCATCATCCGCACTGCGTTTCCGTTCCGTTTCTGTTCCTGTTCCTGTTATTATTGTGTTGACGTCGCGAGATGCGACGAAGCGTGCCCAATCGATTTCCCATGCCATATCGGATGTGCCCCGCTGGCAGGTAGCGTGCGTGTCCAATGTGGCAGCTCCGGCTCCGGCCATAGGTTGCCACAACAGCTGAAGGCATGCCTGGTTGCTGGCTGGAACTGGCCAGCTAATGATGGGCCCCAAATACCAGTGTGCTGTGCTGGCCCTGGCACAAATAGATAGCTGCCCGCAAGCTCACATAAAAAAAAGCAGCGTCTGTTTTTCTGTTTTTCTGTTTTTCTGTTGCTGTGGCAAGGGTTGGCTGGGTTGAAGGTTGCTGGGCTCCCTCTGACTCCCTGGCAGGCTGCCTGCTGCCGCCAAGGATCAAGGCCAGAGCGCCAGAATATGTCTGGGCTGGGGTCTTATGCAATTCCGTTGTAGGTTTTTGTTTACCTCGCTGAGGATTACGAGAACTACGGTGGCAGTGACGCAGTGGCTGAAGCTCCCACCACCCAGTGGCATCTACGCAGCTGCAGCTGCAGCTACGATGAGCGACTGTTGCGACTGTTGCGACTGTTGCGACTGCATTTTGCCATTTGCCATTTGCCATCCACTTGGCGATCGGTGAGGCTTCAAGGGGCGGGGGCGCCCTATCGATCGGCTCTTATCCAGCGAAGCGAGTCCTGCCATGTCCTGTCAGTGTCAGTGTGTTTTTTTTGCTAAGTGTATGCAAAATGTGTGGCAGGCATGACAGGCCAGCCCAGCCCAGCCCAGCCAGCTGCGAGCTGTTTCCCTTTTTATTTGAACATGATGCACACTTCGGGGCGCTGGCACACACTCACAGATGAATGTTTGAGGTGGAAACAAAGAATTCGGGCAGCTGTGGATGGTTGGGACTCGGTCTGCCAACTGCCAGACAACGGCATGTCCAAGGCGCAGACACCGCAGCCCGGACGGGACTCCGTTTCCAGATTAATTTGAATTGCAAAGCAATGTGTGGAGCACTCAAGAGCAGAGCAGAGCAGAGCAAAGAAAACCGCAGAGTAAAAACCACAGCCCACAGCCCAAAGCCCACGTCCAAAAACTGAATCCAACTCCAAGCTGGCCTTCCCCTGCCTTAGATATGGGGCAAAGGAGGAGCTGGCGGTGGCGGATAGTGGGCGGGGGAGGGGGGGGGTGTGTGTGCCATATGGCAGTTTGCGTGGGCTAAAAAAGTTCATTTATATTTGCAAAAATTGGCATTTTTATGGCTTGACGCTTAAATATTTAATATGCTGCCTATTCAGGGTTCCATTTTTAAATTGAGTATCCAACGGCCCCTGCCCCTGCCCCTGCCCCTTGCCACTTCTCTCACATGTAAGCTGAGATGCGAGCAAGAGCTCGAGGGCCAAAGGGTCCCTGAACCACACACACACACACACATCCCATCCATATCCCATTCGGTATTCGGGGCCATGGCTCGCCTTGTGGGTCAGCAAACTGTCTGTGGCAGTGGCGCTGTGCCGCCCCCCAGGCCCCCCAGGCCCCCCAGGGGTCTGCCCACTAGTCAAGCCCAAGCCCAAGCCCAAGCCCTGCACCGCAGGCTCAATTGGGTAGAAATTGTGATTGCTTAGTATTTAGATTTTGTTTGGCCGGGCCGGGCTCGAGCCAGCGCTGACCCCCAGGGAACCCAATGAACCCGACAGCCCGTGGCTGCTGGCTGCTGGCTGCTGGCAGGCCATGCAGCAATTGCATGAAGCAATTAAAGCGCACATCAAATGGAGCTCCGTGACGGAGGTGACGAGCAGGATGACGGCAGGGTGGCAGGGTGGCAGGGTGGCAGGGAGGTGGCTTTGGCCACATTTACATGAGGATCATCACACAAGATTAATGAGCCACGGAGCAGGGGAACTCCAGCTCAAGTCAAGCCAAACGGTGGGTGCAGGGTGCAGGGTGCGGGAACTAAGCGGAGTTCGTGCCTCCGTGCTGGCAAAGTGAACTATCATTGCCAGAGCCATTTGAGTAATGCTTTGTGGACGTGTAATGGCCTGACCCCCACCCAACCAAACCGAACCCAACCGAACCGAACCGAACCGAACCCCTGACGGCAATTGAGTGTCGTCCCGTAGTCCCGCCAGTCATGATCTACGCTGCACTTGAAGCGTTGTGCCACGCTGCGTTGAGTGTGCGTTGGCGCCACTCAAATCCCAAAACGCAATTGAACGCGAAATGCGACGGCAATGGGGCAGAAACCGTGGAGCAGAAACCGTGGAGCAGCCGAGCAGGCGGAGGCAGGGGTGAGTCGCTGCAGCAGTGGGTGCTCTTATGAAGTAGTTTGATCTGTCATTTATATTGAGACAATATTGGGACGACAGGCTTCCCTGCCCTGCCCTGCCCTGACCTGCCCTGCCCTGCCCGAGGAATGCGATTATTTTAAAAGGGAATTTAATTAAAATTCTACAAATTGCCAGCCTGAATGGGCTGGGCTTCCTTGCGTTCCAGCAAACATCTTCATCACACACACACACACACACATGCTGTGTGGCATGTGGCCACACACACACGAGGGCTGGGGGCTGGGAGCAGAGGGCAGGCAGTGGCAGCGTGGCTGTCTTCAATTAGCAGGGAGTCAACATCTAATTAACTTTGCTGGCTGGCTGGCTGGCTGGCTGGCTGGGGGGCACCACCGAAAAAGGGAATCACAAATCTCAGGCTGGCGGCAGGCGGCAGGCATCTTCGAGTCAAGTGTCGCCTGCCTGCCCGGCAGTGAGTGGAGGAACTGCGTTGGCGACACGTGCCAAGTGGCCTGGCCTGGCCTGGCCTGGCCTACCAATTGCCTGCACAGAAGGAAGCCACATAAGCCGCTTACAGATTTAATTATACGCACGAAACTAAGCCGCCAGTGGCAGAGGCTCTCCGAGTGCAGTGTCTATGAATATACTCACGAGTACTTCTACTCCCACTCCCACTCCCACTCGTACTCGTACTTGTACTTGTAATCGTATCAATGCCCGCCCAGAGACTGTGGGCAGGGGCAATCCATAAGGCAGACTCCTCTTTCTGGCACATCTCAGCTCACTTTTGCACTGCTCAAATCAGGCGGCACAAGCTGCAGCAGCAGGCATGCCACATGCAGACAAAAAAGCAACTCAAAGTCAATCAAATGGCGATTAAAAGTAGAAGAATTCAGCCCCTAAAATTCGCCCATTGAAATTTCCTCTTCAGCAAATGCGCAGAGTGCGGGCGGGCGCGAAGGTCGCCATAGCCATAGCCATAGCCATAGCCATAGCCATAGCCATAGCCAAAGCGAAAGCAAAAGCAAAAGCGACCGCTAATTAGTTCAGAGGCCACTGGCGAGCGGACACAAAGTCCGATATGCTCATTAATTAAAAGCGGATTTGTCTTAGTTGCAGTCGCTTTTGATGGCATGGAAATGGCCACCCAACCAGAGCAACTAGCAAGCAGCCAACAGCCAACAGCTAGGAGCTATGATGCCCTCCCAGCTGGCATGGCTTGGCGTGGATGCTACAAGTGTAATCGTTCAGCAGTCACCACAGAGAGAGAGAGGTTGAGCCGTCAAAGGTTGAGCTTTTGTCTGTGCCACAGAGCAGAAATCGTGGCACCTGCTGCGCCCAGGCCTACGGTCGATGTGTGGCAAGTGTGGCAAGTGTATCCCTGCAGAGCCGCCATTCCAAGTGAGCCATTGTGGGGAGTGATTCTCATATCAGTATGTGTTCTGCTCCTGCTCCTGTCCCTCCATCTGCCCCTTTATCTCCTCCCCCTGTGGCGTGGGGAATGGCACTGACAACACGTGTTCGCTCACTTCACTTCTCGTTGCGAAAACGAACAGCCGGAATTATAATAAAATTGCGTCTTAAAAAGATATAAGTTTCTTCCCGTTGTTGATGTCTGCCTCCTCCTGCTGCTGCTCCTGCTCCTCCTGC